GAATATTTTTTCTCTCAAAATTCAGAGCCTTGGGGATGCAGATCCTCAGCCACAGGGGCAGGAGGACTTAGCTCGGTGAGCTGAGCAAGAGGCTGGGAACCCCTTTCGACTGAGCCACTGACCTGCCAACTGCTGCGTGCCACCCTCGGCTGGAGCGTCTGCTCCGAGGGCCAGGAGCAACACCGTGCCCGGGCGTGTCTGTCCCCAGAAACACCTCCAGGGGGACAGCTCTCATCGCACTGCCTGTCGGGCTGAGGGGGAGAATGGGGAGCAGGAATTCCTTCCTGGAGGACCAGCGGATGGGCTGCTGCTGTCTCGGCAAGATGGACACCTGAGGTCCCTCTGTCCTCTGGCGACTCCCTTAGCCCTCACGGCCAAAGACCTCCCCCAGCCCCCAGGCACGCTGCCTGCTGAGCCACCCACAGTCGGGGAGCGGGTGACCGAATGGAGGTGGTTCAGCTTGGGGTGATTGTGGTGGGAGAGACGGTGGGGAGGGGGGTATGCTAGCTACACCCCCAGGCAGCAAACCCAGAACAGGGGTGCAGGAACCCAACCTGCAGTGACCCAAGGCTACGTGTTGGCCAGCCCCTGCCGCCCCCTGCTGGTCTGGCTCTGAGGCCAGCCTCGTGGGCGCCCCTGCTTCGTCTCTCATTTGCATGCTGTTCACATGAGTGGTCTGATGTGCCCGCCGTGCCCTCCCTCTGCCCTTGCTCTCCTTCCCTGACACCGGAGTGTGTGCTGCCGGCTTCTGAGGCCAGGCAGCCCCTCTGCCCTAATGGCTCTGGTGAGGCCCCTCGGCTTAGGGTGTGAGGTACCCCGTTTCCCATAGGAGTAGCCTCTGCCAAGCTGGAGACAAAGGTGCCTGGGGCAGTGGGACCAGGGTCGTGGGGACCTCGGCACTGCCTCCCTCTTTGTGGTGCAGATTCACAGCGGCCTCACAGAGGCACAAAGCAAATGACAAGACAGCGCCCGCCCTGGCTTCTTCCAGAGGCTCCTAGTGGCAGGTGCAGGGGAGAGGAGGGGCCGGCGTTGGGGGGGCCCCACTGTGCCCAGGCCTGAGGACGGGACAGGTGTACTGAGCCTCCCCAGGGCCAGCACTTTATGGGTATTACTTAGTGCCACCTTCAGCCACCCCATGGGAGGCACCACCACTGCTCCCACTTCCCTGAGGGCAAAGTGACTTCCCAGCTGGCAAACGGCAGAGCCAGGTGGTCTGTCCTGCCACCACGCCTCCACCCTCCGTGTGACAGACAAGAGCAGCCCAGCCCCTCTGAGATAGGGCATGCTGCCTTCAGTCCGAGAGGTAGGTCCCCATGTCATTATCTGTCAACCCTGGTGGCATTAGTGGGGTTCAAGCCTCCAGCCACCCCCTTCCTTGCCTCCAGGTGTTGGACGTGTCTGGTTTAACCGGCCTTCAGACCCCGGCACCTGGGAGGGAGGAGGGAGGAGGGAGGCAGCAGCTCCCTGGCTGCTCAGCGTCCTGGGCTGGACTTTGAAAACTGTTTTCCAAAAGTTCTTTACGGACAGCGCCTGCTGTGGCATCGCAGGCGGCTGGGCCGATTACTTCAATGGCTGATGGACTTGTTGAAAAAGAGACGGAAAATCATCTCACTCATTGTTAGTTTTCACAGCCCAGCTCTGAAGCAGCTGGAGACAGGGGGGTCATCGGAAGCTGGGGTCGGGCTGGGCATCAACATGGCCCCACTTCTGTTTTGCACTGGAAATCCAAACGGGAGTGGGATCACTCCTTTCTGTAACCCGCCTTGGTTGCAATCAGCTTATGTTACCATTTCAATATCTTCTTAAAGATATTAAGTTATACACATCCAAAGGGAGATAAATGGGCTTTGCTGATGAAGGCCAAGGGGAGTCTACCTGGCAGGAAGGAGGGAGCAGACAGGTGCACAGAAGCCCAGAGAACTCTGCTGGGTCTGCCTGGCTCTGTGCAAATGAGCGAGGATCCTGCCAGTCCCCGGGAAAAGGGTGCTCTGAGTGACGGGCCAAGTAGGAGCGCAGGTGTTAAAGTGAAAGGCAATTTCCACTGGGCTGCGCCAGGCGCCAGGACAGGCACATTCCAGCAGGGGAAGGGACTCTAGGTCCCACCGTGTGAGCACACTGGACAAGACTTGGGTCAGGTGTGCCCTCTGACCAGTGGAAGATGGGACGGCTCTGAAGACAGGTCAGCTGTGTTTGTGCCCAAGGCAAGAAACAAAGGCAGAGGAGCCTGGTGCAAGGCAGGGCCCGGCAGGGGCACAGGGAGGGACAGGCAGTAGGGAGCAGAATTCCTCCGGCCAGACCCTGAGACCGCCAGCAGGGCGTGCAGAGGCCTGGGCTCCACGTGCAGGCAGGAGGGCCGCAGCCACAGAAGAGAACCAGACCTCGGGGAAGACGGTGGGTCAGGGCCCTGCAGTCCATGGAGGCTGGCTTCTGGGGAATCCAGGCGGCATGATCTAGGGTCCAAGTGGCGAGGGGGCCGGGCTGGGTGAAAGACAAGCACTGTGGGAAG